ATCAGGAAGTGTCCTAATCACGGTATCAAGAAAAATTTGCAAGTTTAGTACTTTTACACTGGGTTATACCCAGCATGTCGTATATCGGTGGATGCAGCTTTAAATGGATCTATCACATTAAAGTCACCCAATGAAGTTGATGAATTATATGAAACGATGGCAGCCAACAATGCCTTATAGCCTTTCGAAAGATCCACACATAAGAAGCACACAAGTCTACATAAGGTGGATGCTTTCTCGGCATTATCAGCACAAATTTCAGTTTTAGAGAAAAATGTTATAGATCACTTGACTACGAGGCTCTAAATCATGATATTTTATACTTATTTGAGGCTCTAAATCATGATATTTAATTATCTTTTGAATTAAATTCTGCCTAATTTATGTTAAATTGTATTTTTTAGGTAAAACTTTATATTTAATGAAGAATTGAAGAAAAGAATGTAAAATAGCGGAAAATGACAAAATTCATAGTACGAGGACTAAATTAGCATGTGATGCACAAATAAATTCGTTTTAAGGATTAACTTGCATTATATCAAAGTTTTTGGACTTGGAAAGAATAATTAATTTAATTTAGTATTTAAATTTTATTGGGCCTAAATTTGGGCTTTTAAAAATTGGACTACACATTGGCAACCATATTAACATAAACATTGGCAACGAATGGTGATGTATAATTCTAGTTTGTATAATAATTAACATAAACATTATAAGATATCGATAGATAATTATAAGTTGTGCGATCTTTGTTGAATTTCTATAAATAAATGTGTTCATGTGCGTGTGAATTTATATAGATATATAACAAGTTCGGGTATATGAATAGGATTAGTGTTGCTTGAGAGAGATCACTAAATACAATAGGTTAATTCGATCGTTGGCACGTATGAAAAATGGTTGAATGAATTGAAATTAAATGTATGATAAATAACCTAAGTGAAATCGGAAATTCTAACTATCCATCACATAATCTTATCTACACTTTTAATTTGAGTTTGTTATTTTATTTAGTAGTTTGTTATTTTATTTATTCGAATTTCGTTTAGAAAACAAAACTTGATTTGATCATTAGTTACTATTTTTATTTAAATTAGAGCTATGTTAGTTTAAAAATTTATAGTAGTTTCTGTGGGACGATATTCGGACTTAATAAATCCACTTTATTACTTGTCATGATTCCTACACTTGCGAAATTTCACGAATAGTACTGCTCTTCCTTTCCTCTGCATGTTGCCCCCTCCTATTTGCTTTGCGGGAGATACAACTCTCTATTTTCTCATAGTCAATTAAAAATAAGCTTGTTTTAATTATGTAACTGTCTTGTTTAGTTTCTTGCATACATATTTAATTGGG